GAGTTCCTGCACCAGATCAGACCAAGCTGTCGGACTGTTTGTTTTATCTTAATCCCAAATTCTTATTCTCTCTTTGCCTCTCAATCTTCTCTTCAACTTCAGAAATCAATGGAGGTATTTCTGGAACTCATTTATATTCTCTTATTCAGTCACCTTTCCTGATCATTTATTCCATGTTTCTTATCCTTTATGAGATGTTCCCGCTTTAACATACTTATTCTTACTTTATTAAATGTTAAGTTCATTTCTGAACTTGTGATCAATGAACTTAAACCCACGTGGCAGGAAGGGTTTTCAATGCATTATTTTCAGTTAATGTTAGCAAAATAGTTATTTTTTTAAAGAAGTAGCCTGGACAAGAGAAAAGTCTTTGTTTCATGTTCTACCAACTAATGTTTGCACTGAAAAATATGGAGAAATACTAGACACCATGAAAAGATAAGGCATGAGGTCAAATCCAATAGCCAACCTTCAAAATGATCAGTTCCCACCTAGTAAGATGAAAGCAGAAGGGATAGGAAATATTGGCACCAGAGGAGGAACCCCCAGGAAATGGTCATGAACAGACCAGTTGCATTAAATTATCCTCACACTCTGCCCTAAAGCAGAGAGAGCTCTCATCTATAGGAGAGTTCCACAGGTAAAGAACCTAGATATAGGCAGACCTGTCCCTAGACTAGTGCTGATTGAAGCCAAATCAAATATTGACGTCTTTATTCCAATGGGGATACAAGAACCCCTTCAAGGTGGCTTTATTTGCTTCTGTCGATTTGGTGCCCACGCTGTGGGTAAGTTAAATAAATGGTCATCGCTCAGATTTTCATCTAAGCTATGCATCGGACTTCATCTAGTCCTTTTGATATATTCATCTGGCCCACAGGGCAGGATATACTCCGCAGAAGAGAAGAAAATCGCTTTAAAAAATATGTTTCTAATCCTCGTAGTTGCAAAGAAAAAGCTTGGAAACGTGACCCGAGTGTAACTGACGCAGTGATGTCTGCTAACAGGATTCCGCCAACGGGGAGAGAGATGGAGGAAGAGTGGGTGGGGCCAGGGCAATGTATATCATCCCCCCACCACCACCACCGGCCCCACAGAGCTCTAGGAGCAAATACACACTGGGTTGTACTAAGGCCCCCTTTCAGAAAGACACTTAAGCATGTACTTAACTTTAAGCATGTGCCTAAAACCCATTTGCCTTGAGTAGAATTAGGCAGATGCTTAAGTGCTTTGCTAAATAATAATGGTTCTTATTATTATTATTCCTCTCGTCCGTAATCTTTATGGGAATGAGATTCTTGTCATCGTAATTTACAATGGGCAGCTGTAGAAACTATTGTGGTGTAACAAGAGGAGTATCAGGATCTTAGCTGAAAAATAGGCAGCAAGAACAAATTAAAATCCCAGCAGAGACAAAGGCCAAGTCGCTGTGCTAATGTCTACAGCTGAACAAATAATTGGTACTGAATAATTTGCTGGATGAGTCTGGGCACTTTTTCTGCTTGTCAGAATAATGGAGCAGATCTCAACTTCCTCAGATGTGTGCGTTAGAATTTACTCACGAGCATTCTTGTGATGTTTCCCCTTCTCCCTCACTCTATGGACGGATCACACACAGTTTACTCTGAATGTTCAAAGAGCGGTATTTCAAATCTGAGTTGTGTTGGCCATTGTATTTTCTCTGTTCCCTGAATCAGGAAGAGCGGGACTTGATCTGAGTCTTCCACTCCTCTCTCTCCCGCCCTTCCCCTCCCATCCCGGTCTTCTTAAATGGAAACCTATTTTGAAAGCTCAAAATTGCTCATGAAGCAAAATAGTTGTTTACCCGTCAGCCCTACCATATATCCACATGGATAGGTTACTAGTCTGAATGGGACCAAACCCAGCTCGGCCACTAATTTTCTGTGTGACATTGGACAAGTCACTCTGAAATAATTGTAAGCAATTGAAAACTGGAACAAGAAATGATTGGGTCTTTATATTTGTCAGCATTTTTGAACTACTGGCTCCCAAAGTGCTTCCTGAAATTCTAAGCCAACTTCAGGAACTGATTCATTATCAGACCAAGTTATACTTCACAGAGCTCACCTCAAATATCTGAAGCCAGCTGCGATTGGCTTTGATAAAGAGACCTTCAAGGTGCTGTTCAACCTGCCAGCTGGAAAAGAACCCTGAGCTGAGCTGAAACTAAAGCTCTTGTTCTTGCTTTTTAACATCTACACTTCTGTTGCCTTGAAAGGACTTTGAGAAGCTTTCAAGCTCTCACCAACCACTCTAAATGCCCCCAGCTAGTATAAATGAGTGTAGCTACGTTTACTTTGATTTACACCAGCTGAGGATTTGGCTCTTAAGTTTTATATTTGAAACTTAAATTAAAAACTTGGGAGAAATAGGAAGCTCTCATAATTATTCAGCAGTCCTTTAATTACATAAACCACACTTTTTTTTTCAATGTATCCCCGCCCCTCAAAAATGCCCCTAATATCTGATCCCCACAAACCACCCTTTTTCTCATGAGAATATGTGAGCAAGATTGGCACCTCCATCACACTGGGCCTTGTTTAGCCTTACGTCTCCCTGCTGATGTGCTTTTGAACAATACCCATTCTGACAGATCTCCTTTGCCAAACTAGTTCACCCTCCACCATTGACAGAACGGTGCTCAACTGGGCCCAAGCCGCGATGCAAAGATTTTCTGCAGTTGCAATTCACGTGTGATTTATTTGCATCCCAGGAGGTTTTCACTGAGTCTTGAGCTTGAATGAATCAGAAAACCTCAAAGCAAAACAGCCACCAAGTTTCACCCAGTTCTGATTCAAAACCATTTCAATGTCAAATCTTAGGCACAGGCTGGCAAATCTTGTTACAAAACCTGGGCTGGGTTTCCAGCTTAGAACAAAATCCGAAACCAGGTGAGTTCTGTGGAGTGCCAAGGTTTTGCAAGGAACACGTTGCAGCGCTCTGACCAGTTAAACATAAGCAGCTAACATGTCTAAGCAGCAAACCTGTAGGTGCCAAAAATAATTCCAGTGCTAGCCTTCATCAATCCAGACCTCTTCTCAGCTTCACTAGGTTTACTGAAGTCTGACACCAAGTTTCAAAAGACAGATTGGAGTTCTTACTCCATACTATGCAGCTTATGCCTAACAGATTGATGCCACTGTAGTTAGTTGAAGGCTATGATCACTATTAATTGGCCCCAAACTAAGGATCATTGTTTTGACTAATAACCTGAGATGGGCTCACGCTGCAAAGTGCCTAGATGCACATTTCAAACTCACCAAAGTTTAGGATGTTTGGATGTGAGGGTTTGGTGCAGGCCCAGACTTAGTGACATAGAATTTATAAAGATTAAGAGAACATGATTTGACTTCAAGGTACTGTTTGCCACTACGAGGGCACTTAGCATTCAGCACAGAAGTCAGAGTTCTATTCAGCTGTCCACCCAGTTCCGCTGCAGGCTGTGTAAGAACAGACCCCATGTCATGTCGGGGCATAGGGACAGATTCTGCTCTCTGCTGCACTGCCATAAACAGGACACCACCCTGCAAGAAGCTGAGCGCCCTCAACTCTCCTTTGAAGTGGGCGAGAGTCAAGTATGGCCACCATCTCCCAGTGGATGCTCAGCATTTTCCAGAATCATATCTGAGTAACTCCACTGAGTCAGAGAGGCTACTCCAGGCTCACTCTCAAACCCACGGTGCCTTTATGATGCCTACAAAAAACTGAACCATGGGCAGGCTGCTAGTATGCTGAGGTCCTGCCTATCTCGCTGACCAGTACTGTTTATTGTTCCCTGGGTGGTCTGTTTGTATCCACCTGTTGTTTTATACTTAGATTGTAAGCGCCTTGGGGCAGGGGCTGTCTTGTTGATGTGTGTACAGGACCTAGCACAGTGGGATCCTTGCCCATGACTGGGGCTCCTGGGCGCTATGATGATACAAATAATAATAATAGTCAAATCACTATTATAGACAACAGATGATCACACATCCCAAAATGAGCATCTAAAAGAGTCTTTTCATTTTATTCTGTTGGTAGGTGCTTAACTTTTATGGTTGTTTGAATGTAACCAGGAAGGTGATCCAAAAACGTATCGTGCTTTACTTGATCGTCTTTGTTTAACTTCAGTCCAACACATATCTGTATTTTTAGCATTCTGAGGTTTGGCGAACTTTTTGCATATTCTGACTTGGTAACATATTGCTGGGTTCCATTGGATCTAGGTTTTACATTTTCTACTACACATTTAAAAAAACCCACCTCTTTTTAAAAAATGTCACTGGTTTTGTACCAGGCTGTGTTGTTAAAAGCATTTAAAAATTAATTCCTGGGGACCTGTTGTAATTAAAATTTAAGCATCATTAAAATTGTATGTGCTGGTGGTGGGGGTTAGCTGGTTTAATAACCTTTTAAAGATAACCTATTCATGCTGGGAGCTTTGAAATGATCTTGCAGATGTCCCAGAGCCATGGATATGGTTGCTGCTTTTGTTGCTATGATTGCAGACAGCTGTATTGGTAGCTTGGCGAAAGAAGGAACAGTACATCATATGCAATCATGAATTCCTGGACAAAGTGTAGCGCTAGGATTATTCTTCTCTTATTGATTTAACTTAGAACTAATTGTTTTAAGATGACAACATTAATGTCTTTTTGTTCATACTGAGTGACAATTGACTACAATTCCCGTTTTGTTTACTCTGGGCAGTGATTACTTGTTCTACTTGCATGCTGTGCTGATCAATTCTTAGAGATACAACAGGCTAAAAGCATGCAGAAGTCATGGCATCTTTGACTACAGAAACAAGAGCCTTAGATACCAGTCATTACTATAGCTGCAGTACTAAGAGCACAAGTAGTGTTAAGGCATCATATATTTTACTTCAGATGTTTCAGAATTTGCTTTTATCTTTGGTTTTTGCACTGAGATTTAATCAGTGATCTTGGACTTCAGTAATTGCTTGTAGTAAGCGCTTTCATTTTTGATCATTCATACAGTATAGGAAAGAGGCTGGACCAGAAAAGAAAGCAAAGCCAATGTGAAATATTGAATGAAGATAGTGGACAATTACTACCAACTTGTTCCCAGTGTGAATTGTACAGCCTCAGCTGGTAAGTCAAATTTAATTCTCTAACTCATGTTCTCTAGCTATGTGTTGGTGAATGAAATCACTTAATAAATAAGTGTGTGTGGGGGGGAGTTATTATTATCTATTGTGTGTGTATGTTTTTTTTATCAAATCTTCCAAAGTTAACACTTCTACATCTAGGCTGTATTTATACAGTGTGCCTATGTATACCGTATGCTCATATGTGTATAATCGGCACACACCGATATGTAATTCAGGGATTTGTTTCCCTTTTACAATGTGATTTTAGAAACTGTGCATGAATATTTGATCAGTCCCCCAGGATGAAATAAGCTGCTTTCTAGGGTAGGTTATTTAAATGGATTTTATCTAAAATCTCCACTTTTAAAACACATGCCTGTTCAGAAAGGTTACTTTAGCAGGGCCTGGGATGTGTGATCAGAAACCTGATCACAAAGATTAGATTCCATTGTGTACAGTATGAAACATGTGTTGGGCGACTTCCCTCTCTTAGTTGGTACATGCTAAATGAGAGTGATAATGAGAATCAGAGTCTGCATGTGATGGCTAGTGTAAAATGTCTGCAGTAGACTGTTTGCCCAATGATTCAGATATTCATTACTGGAACCATTTTTGTTGTGATTTTTAATTCTTAAAAAAGTGGGCTACTGACAGTATTGGTTATGCCCAGTTACAATGTGAGCAGCTGGTCTGCATGCTACCCTGCAGAGCTCTACCTATGCCCCCCAAACCTGCAGCACATTTCTCATCAATTTCTTGATTGACTGTGACAAGCGTTAGCCAGTTAGGTCAAATATTGTGATGGTTATTTTGATATGCACAACGATCTATTCAGAACACCACTGAGATCACCTAATGCGTTTACATTTGTGACCTAAGCTAGATATGTGCTGAGGTTTCCAGAGGTGAAAGCCTTGAATATATCAACTCCAGTGCACCACCTAGCACCTACAGGGTTTGTTTTTTATCATACACTGCTAACAGTTTAACTCTAGCAATCACCCATCCTTCATCATAGCACATCTTCAGTTGTCCATATGTTAAAAACATGAAGACATGTCTAATGTGTAACTTCAGTGAGAATGATGTATATGTTTTGCTGTATCATCTGACATGGCTATGAAAGCTAACCTGAATTTCTTATAAAAGAAGCCTAAAGATGTTCTTATAAAATTACGTAGATGTTATAAAACTGCTACCAGCCAATTTAAATATCCTTGCATTTGAATCATGTGAGTTTGAGATGGAAAAGACCCCGTAGATTATCAAATCTATCGCCTTCCCAATGCAGGATTGTTCCGTGTTTTTATTGAGTCTAGTTTCCATTAATTCCCTTGGGAGACAGCTCTCCAGCTTAATAAGATCACAGTACTAGAAAGTTTTCTGTGATATGCTGCATACATTTTCCCTTTCCCTTTTTTTCATCTCATAACTGCTTATTACATACCCCATTGTGCTGTCCTAAATACAGTAACCCTTGGCAATATTTTGCATTTTACAAACATTGTATGAACATACTGATCAGGACTTCAATGAATTTGCATTACACTATTTCCAACTATTACTTGGCTGTTGTGTGCTTAGTTCATGCAACGTTTTACTTACTTCTGTTAGTATATAAAAATAGCCCATTGAACATTTTTAAGGTCATTGATGACCTAATATGGAATCAGTGTGCGTATGGTACTATTGCCACATAGAAAAATGGTGTCACTGAATCACTGCAAGTTTTACAGCTATGTTTACTCAACCTCCTCTTTGACCTATCTCTCCTTAGATAAAGAGAAACACCCATGGGGTTATATGGTCATAAAGATGTATATTTATCATATATGCAGAAATAAAATAATAATAGGTAGCTCTTGTATAGCACTTTTCATCAGCAGATCTCAAAGTTCTTTACAAATGAACTATATATCGTTATCCCCATTGTACTAATGGGGAAACTGAGGCACAGAGCAGTTAAAGTAACTTGCCCAACGTCACCCCGCAGGACAGTGGCAGAGCAGGAAATAGAACCCAGGTCTCCTGATGCCCCATCTAATGCTCTAGCCATTGGGAAATACTGCCTTTGTACCTGCATATTGATTTTAAAGATCAGCTATGGCTAACTCATAAAAAACCACCTATGGGTAATTAAAGAGACAAGGTGGGTGAGATAATCTCTTTTACTGGACCAACTTCTGTTGATGACAGAGACAAGCTTTCGAACTACACAGAGCTCTTCTTCAGCTCTGGGAAAGATACTCAGAGTGTCACAGCTAAATACAAGACCGAACAGATAGAATATGTACTAACTACTAATGCTAAGCTAAGGGACCATTCAAGGTGAAGTGGCCAGTAACCCACCAACCTCTCCAAGTTCAGCATCATGAGCAAGCCCACACACCAGGCCACATCAACTGAAAGTGGCATCAGACCCTGCCAGTACAACAGATGCAAAACCTACACACACATCTCCACTGTACAATGATCAACATCCCCCACAACACACCTTTCAAGATCCAGGGGTCCTACACATGCCTACCACAATATGTGATGTACTTCATCCAGTGCACTAAATGTTCCAATAACAACTAGGTGGGTGGAAACCAGACAATCACTATACTCTCAAATGAGCATACACAGGAAAATGATAAAAGACAAAAACATCACATCACCCGTGGGTGAACATTTTTTTCACAAAGCGATCACTCTATATGTGATCTATCAGTCCTCATCCTCAAAGGAAACCTGCACAACACTTTCAAAAGTCAGCCTGGGAGCTTAAATTCATAACTTTGCTCGACACTAAAAACCATGCCCTTAATAAAGACACTGAATTTATGCTTATTACGACAATCTGCAATGAACTAATTCCAACTTTTTGTCCTGTGACTGCAGGGGTGTTAATGGTCCCATTTTCCCTGGAATGTCTCCTTAGAATAAGTGCTAACTACTTATGCTAAACTATATGTTCGCTCTTTTATTTAGCTGTGACACTCGGAGTACCTTTCCCAGCAGGGGTGGCTCCAGGCACCAGCGCACCAAGCCCCGGGGGGGCGGTGTGCCAGTCGCCCTGAGGGCAGCAGTCAGGCTGGCTTCGGCGGCATGCCTGCGGGAGGTCCGCCAGTCCCACGGCTTTGGCGGCAATTCGGTGGCGGGTACGCCGAAGGCGCGGGACTGGTGGACCTTCCGCAGGCATGCTGCCAAATCTGTGTTACCAGCGGACCTCCCGCAGGCATGCCACCGAAGGCTTCCTCACTGCCGTGCTTGGGGCGGCAAAATACATAGAGCCGCCCCTGTTTCCCAGACCTGAAGAAGAGCTCTGTGCAGCTTGAAAGCTTGTCTCTCTCACCAACAGAAGTTCGTCTAATAAAAGATTGCCTCACCCA